CTGAAGTGCTCTTCAAAATGTTCCGCCCAACAGCATAGCCGACGCGGCTGAAAATAAACCAATTGTTTGTCTTTCGCAGCTATCAGGTCACTAACTGAAAGCTTTCTTAGACCCATGTCCCGGATAAGCTGGAACAGTACTCAGCTGTTCGCAACACCACTGACCTTGGTCGTCTCAAGGGCCCTTACCACCTATCAACATTCCCAATCGATTGTAAGACCCTTGTCAGTCGTCATTTCGGGGCGTTACTGTTACGCTGAAACTCTGTGACCAATGGAATCTGCATTCGCACTTCGATTACTGGTCGATGCAACAGAGATCCACACATGGTTCCGACGTCTCAAGTGGGGCGTAGGGTAGGCAACAAAGAAACTCGTCATGGCACATTAGAGAAAATTCCAGCAGCTGCTCAGCTCACCAACACATTCACCATTGACAATTAATGGGCAAATTCGACAATATTGTTGAACTGTGAGTCCAAACTACAAGTTAGGCGCTTCCTTGGAGCGAAAAGAATGGGCATAGCGCGTCCGCGCACTAGAGAATAGTCAGAATCCAGGCACATGATTCAAAATGACTGACAATTTTGGAGTGAGGTGCGCCATCTATATTTGATAGATTATGCGGTTAATTTGGGTCCAGGATATCGAGGAACTCGGTAGGCACGAGGTGACAAGATATGAACGTTTGTACCGGAAAACAGTGCTGCTAAGGTAAAAGTTGTGATAGGCGCAAAGTTGCAGAAATGGAGCACCATTGTCTGTTCGGTATGCATCGACTCCGAAGTGGCCTCAAGGTGCTGTTCAGAGTGAAAGAAAAACCACATAGACATTCACGTTGCCAGTAACAATCACGATGTCAGCATTTTTCGCCAAGCGGAGATGAGGTGAGAGCCGATAATAGAAATCATCATTGATACCCTCCGAACTGTAGTTAGTAGGAGCATAGACGGAAGAGCTGAAAAGGCATTTTGTTTCCAGACGGTACTCATTCACTCTAACAGAGATTCTAAGTCGAACGGCACACAGGCAGTTGTTCGCTGGTATCCAGTCAAGTAGACCGAGTTCAGTATGCTTGCTGTGGGCGATACCAACACCGCAAATACCTTGAGCCATTGACTCCATCCGGTCGAAGGTTCGAAGAGTGTAGTCAGCTTGGTCAGATTCGGAACCATAAAGTCAAAAATTCGGCACAACGCTGTTAGGTAGTATGCGTGTTTCGGAGACACAGCGCATACCAATATCAATGGAGTGAAGAGTGAGAGTCAGTGCTACCTGTTGGCCAATCTGACCAGTTGAATGGAAGAATGTGAAATGTAACCTTTGGTTTGGGGGACAAGTTTCGTGGATCGTTAGCAGCAGTTGTGAGGGGGACAGCAGTCGTTTGCTCAATAGACGAGAATGAGAGCTGCAAGAGGAAAGAATAATAATAAGAAGTATTGTAGACGGGGAAGAGTGTGCAGAGCATATTCTCCAGCGCCCTATCTTTAGATTTTGACTCAACAATTTGAACGACAAGGCAATGGGTGCATAGAGCCTTGTTTGAAGTACTCCACCCGGGGCTCAAAAGTTTGACCCACAAAGCAGTGTGGAGCAAGTCCATCTTCTGGATGTGAATGTAGAGATCCACTGGGATCTAATTGAAGTCTGTTACACATATTCTCCGAAGAGATAGAACGATTCACATGCGTTTTTTGACCGTAGTATGCTATGAATTTGCGACCAAGGCCAGCCTCATCTGGGAGTTGAGGAGGTTGCATCCATTTGGTCAGGAGGTGCCTGGATTGTTACGAGCGGTAGCAAAGCATTGAGCTCTGGAAGGTGTTCTTCCACCGGCAGAGACAATGCGTGACACTCAAGATCTGGGTAATTAAGCCCCTATGGTTAGGTTTTAATGGAAGATGTTCACAGACCTCTCCTCAACCTCCGAAGAGGATTGTGATGACGAGCTAATCTGAGCCCTAACCATTGATCTGTCTTGTATGAATGGTGGTGAAGACAACTGGAAAGTAGCACCCAGAGTAAGTCACGGAGGTACGCAAACCATCTAGTCAAGTTAAGGTCCAATCTCGTCGTGATGGAAAATGGTCATTGCTTCCAAAATCGGCGAACCAAACCCAACTGTCACAGAGACTCTACTGATGATGCAACAATCAGGCAGTTGTTCCCCAAATCAAGTGACCTGCGGAAAGCATATATATGGTTGGCGGCATCCGGTTTCGGATTAGCCTGTCAATGTGGCCAGCCACAGGACGCCTGGGCCTACAGAGGGACCATGGATGGCTTGCGCTGCACCACTCACAGCTCCATCCACACACCCCATATCCAGTGTAAACCCGAAGGAATAAGACCGGGAGGCATGCGGATGGGAGCCACGTTTCATCAACGGATCCGGCCCACACTCCTTCACAGGCAAACACAAGCACGCTGTATTTGGGAATCAACCGCACACAAGGCGGTGGCTGGACCATAGTCCGCTCCACACTGAGTGCATGGAACCACTGTTCGAGCCTAACACGGCCACAAGAACCGTGCACCCCGTCCCCTCCAGCAACGACCAACTGTCTCCTGGAGCCAGATGGCTGGCTTGCCGAACAACCTCCTCGTGGTGCCAGCTGGGTGGTTCGGGATTTTCACGTTCCAGCAAATGGTTCGGCGGCAGTGTTCCAGGACGTGGTGGGTTTTCGCCTGGCAAGCGTTCTCCCTATAAAAAGCCACATATGTCCGTTTAACAACACTGTGACGTGGCGGACGTGACTCGCCACTAAATAAAGTCACTGCCCCTTGCTTCATCCTGGCGAAGCATTGTATTCCAGCAATCTTATGCTGTACTTCTAGGGAGCATTGGGCCCCTGTTTGACAAAGGAACAAACGAAAGGCGTATGAACTGAGCAATCAGTCACCGGCTCCCAATGGGCGCGATTCCCTGAATTCGCTCCGCTGCCTTGCGGGCAGGCTATTAAGCCAAAGGCTCGGGGTGGTGTCCCCTAAGTCAACACCCTACTTCGGCTTGGGCAACCGGGTAGTATCTCGCCCTCTGAGGAAACCATGGACATTGTTGTGTTGTGTATTATTTTACTGTTTCTGTACCTTCGTTTGAATCCCATGGTTTCTGATGGCATTATGTCTGTTAACAGACTTTTGCAAATATATATGAGCCAGATGGACGAGGTAGTGGGTAATAGACAGGTAGGCACCTTGTCAACATGCACATCAAGCGCAGCCACACCTGGGATGTCAAACAACAGCCAATCATTCGAAATGACGATATCGAATAAAGTAAACGCATATGACGACATAAATACTCGCTAAATGAGCATATGGAAGAAATTGGTTAAATGTGAATACGCGATAAGTACGAAATGCCCGAAAGTTATTTAAAAAATACCACGCGATAAAATTACGCAAGTTTACCACAATTTGCATGACCGACGTGTGTAAGTTGGGAGAAGATTATCAAGTAGGCAGAGCAAAAATAAAATAAAATGTAATGAATTTTATCCACATTAAAAAGACCTAGTTTAAGTGTAAGTTGGTTTAGCCCAACTGCGGTGTAGAAGCATCATGAATGCGACATCAGCCTCAGCATGGGACAGCATACCAATATCATTTAATAACACACACCAAGGAACACGCTGGATTGAAGAGGCACGTAATCCGGCCACTGTGACCGATGTTGCATGAAGTTTGTCTGATACTCACTCAGATAAATAAGGCGCTAGAAACATGTTTTCAGATACAGTGAAAACGGTTCAGGCTAACACTGCTCATTTATCTGATTGGTCCAGCGACAAGTGATCAAATAGGCATAGTACGCGAGTTCGGACGACGTGCACCCAGCCATAAAATTGAGTGCTTTGCCGTGTCAGAAAAGTGCGCGTGATCCAGTTAAAAAGATGATCTCGGATTGAGTTTGGCCATATACAGCAGAGAACAAAACGATCAGCCCGAGTCCGACGTAGGTCCTAGTTAGATTAACGCAATTTGGATACCTACACTGATGGCATACAAAGTACTTTTTGTACACGATTAAAAGAGACAGCCATTACTGTCATAGGGGTTTTAAAAAGGTATCCCAGCCGATAGGTTGACCGAGACAACAGATCGTTTCAGTATCCAACTCACATAAAGTAGCCACGGAAGGTATCCCATTGAAGTTGTGTGCTCTAGCCAACATTGTATGGCAAAGATAACTAGTATGGTCGACATAGTGTAAACAGCGAAGCTTGTCGAACTACTGTTTCGATTGGATGTACTGATCAGCAGCGGTGAAGGTAAATTGAGAAACAGACTACAGGAAAAGACAAGTACGATGGAAATAGAATGTGCGATTTGATAAACCTCGGTGGAGCCACTGCTTCAGTCCAGATTCCATGAGGACACCCACAATGAATTTTCTGATAACGGTTGAAATACGTCGTCTGGCAGCTCAGAGGCGCCAATCGTATTCCAAAAAATATGGAAAAATTTGATGAAGACCAGTTCGCCGAGTGATGAAAAACGAATAATCTTATATCCACAGTCCCAGGTGACACAGGAGTGGACAGTGGGCAATAAGTCGAAATTAAGAAAGAAAACGGTATTGTCTGCCCTCATGATTACACGCCACGATGGTTTCCGTCCTTAAGTGGGACCTTCGGGGGAAGACAGCCGGGGCTGCGAATCAAACCCGGTGCAATTGGACAAATGTGAGACAAGGCTGCGGGTGCAATACACGGCATCGGTCACATGTGGAGTGTTAATGAAAACGTGGAACGGTTCCACTGATCTAAGTGACAGAGGTTTAACTCACAGCTAAATGTGGGACTGCGTGTCCCAATACAAAGACAGCACGTGTCTTACACCCAAAATATGAAATTGGCTCAATAAATAATCCACAGGGAAGCACTGAAAAAGCCAGAAAACACATAGACATGTATACATAGGTACAAAGTAGAATAGAATAACAACCATAAAGGTAAAAGCATTAAAATTTGCAAAACCAAGCGCGTAAAAACGTACAGTATCCACAATACTCCATCCTCCAAGAGAATCGATCAGCGCGTGAGCTTCTTTGACATCTGGACTAGACTGATGCGGTTGGCCCGGAACCAACTGTGTCCTGTTGGTGACGCCACGAGATGGAGTAAGTTGCTTTACTTCTGAAGAGAAACGAGCAATAGTGATACTATATCCGTGATGGGAGAAAACTGTTTCACACATAGTTGGATAGAATCGTGTGCATATTGGGTGCTTGTACTTGATTGGTTGAATACGTTCACTCGATATGAAGGTATCTTGATTAATGTTTCGTAGAACAAGGAAGCCGATAGGGCCGAAAAGTACACCACAGAATAATACTGAGAAAAAGGTATACACAAAACACAAATGACAAATCATGGGAAATTACGAGGCGAGTAACTCAACTTGCCAATTATGGGCAAGAATACATGAGTGTATCGCTGAGGCTCAGGTCTGGACGTATCATTAAATCCAAGGATATCAGTGTAGTCCTGCTCGCAACCAAATCATAGCTATATTGCAGGTGTGGTCCGGGGAAGTTACATGTTTCGAGGCTTTCCATATTTCATCGATTTATGTTCATCTGTAGTAAGCTGTTGGCACACAACTTCCATTCGTATCAAAGTCACCTCTGTTTATATCATCGAATGACTAGCTAATGCCTATACAGCTCGTTTGGCTTAGCGTTATTTGTAGACCACATTCGATTTTCACCAGTTCGTCACTCGACATAAAACACACGGTGGATCGTTTCTATGAGGTAGTGAAAAAGGACAACCACGAAAGACAGCAGGGGCCCCGCCGCTATTTTGGAAAAACCGAGGTATCCCCCTTCTAACCCGTTTGTGGTTGTTCGCATCTTGAATGGCTGTACCTCATCTGACATCAAGAAAAGTATAACGAAAGCCAATGAGCATGAATTCCATTAAATAAGAATAAGAGGATCAGCTGTTTTCGCATATCAACAGGCCAGCGACGATTGTCAACCAGAAAATAGTGTCTGGCCTGAGAATGTTGACCAATCGAATGTTTCTGGTTCTGTGGCTCTGCAGGTGGACGGCTTCAAGAAGCTCTCAATAAGACATTGAAATCACACTCCTGAGCTGGACGCGCTACCCACCACCATCTTTAGTTCGACTGAATAACTGCCATCCGTAAGGTGGTTCCAGTTACCGGAACTCAGGTAGCCAGAATTACAATAAATAACAAAGCTCGGAAAATGAAGTTGAGTGCCAATAGAATACCGAAAATATGGAATCAAGACAAGTGCGCAAAACTAAGCGGGATGGAATGAGGATTAACAGCTAGATGTAAGAAACCCAACGCAGGAACGCCACTAACTGCGCTACTGCGCCAAGTTCGATAGAGGCTTTAATCACTGATGTGGACTATCCCATTCATGGAGACGGGACGCACTAGCCTGAGTAAGTGTCTCAGTAGATTTCTTCATGGTTTTGTGCCACGTCATCGACTGGCCAACTTGCGGTTTCGCCTAAGTTGATGCAGCGACGGCGTATAATGCAAGTCCTTTCCTCTGAATGGGTAACCGGAGCGTACAATCTGCTTACATGATGCCCATCGTTTTTCTTAATTTCAGAAGTCCTCTTCTGATGTCTTCCAGCAAAAGCAAACTGGTCAAAGTATCACTCAAAAAGGCTCAGTTAGCAACAAGAATATGCCAGGTGCTAAACCGAACTACTGCCCAGCCTGGTCTCAACATATGAAATATAGAGTAAAGAACATAAGGCCTCTTCATATCAAAAATAAAGTGAGACAAACCTGGGTGAATGATAAGGACATTGTGATCCGTTTGTTGTGGCATATAGGTTTCGTTCAGCAGCCGCTGGTAAACCAAAGGAACGTCATCGGCATTTAGTGCGGTAGAATCTAAAAACAGAATGATTTATACAATTATTCTAAAACACTACATGGACAATAGAGTCAACAAAGCACGATATTCGGGTTTAAAGCCGTAATAATAGGGTATAAGTGGTGCGCCGAAACCTAATATTAATGCATTGTCACTGCACGACCACCAGCGATTGTACGCGGTCTGAGATACCGCAATGTTGCCCGTACATGTGCAGGCGTAAACCGGGGATCGATAATTTTTACGCCTAAAGCTTGAACCATTCCCCACCACTCAGACATGCTACAAACAAGCAGTTGGAGTACAGAAACTACAAATGAAAGATCCCATTACAACTGACAAAAATTATAAAGTAGGTAGGTGGTTCGGGACGTAGTCTGTAGCTCGTAGCCTTAGGGACCACAAGCCTGTCTTGTAATCCGAGGGCATGAGTTCGAGCCTGCGTGGAGAGCAAGTGACCCTCGCAGTATTTATAGCCCACATACGACTAGTGGTGACTGTGCGACAGCGAAGGTTCAGTACTGCGTACCGGCATACTGCTGATGCCTTCTTTTTCTTCTCATTCTTCAGGAAGTAGCAGCAGCTTAACTCCACGGCATCAGAAATGCACAAGTATACTTTACAAAAGCTCCGCTGGTGTACGGACATGAGTGAGCAAATGGTCATAGCGCATGACGGAAGAATACGGCACACTGAAGAGGGACGCAGGGCAGTGGACAATCATACAGGGCCAAGACGAATAAATTAAGAGACAAAACTCAGTCACGAACAACCGGTAATCATGTAATGAAAGATAGACGAGTTTGGTTTTTAATCCCTGCAGATCCATTTCATAAAACATCGTGTTTTATAGGTAACTCTAAGAGGGGATGTCAAATGAGAAGTCATAAAAGGATGTCCCACTTAACTTAGTTGGACATTGGATGCTTTCCACCCGAAAACACATGAGGTACTTGAAAAACACGTCACCTAAAGTAAACAACAATATCCACGGTGGACCCGTTGGAATCCAGATTAAGAAAGTGAGGTAAACCGAAGACTACCATCCAAGTGAGTTGGTCCCCAATCGCGGAATGTTATTCAACCTCGGTCATGGCGGAGATCAAAACCGTTCAGTAAACATGAACTGGCAAAGGTCGGAGCCACCATAACTGTCAAACATTGGTTGGCGTTTAAGTAAATTATACAGTCAGTGTCACATTATGATCCATAGACAGTTTAGCGACCCAGGAGCTGCGTCCGACCACTTCACTGAGGGATAACACACCCGAATCAGCAACGTAATCTTACGTGATAAGTGGATGTCGCTTCGGCATTCTTTAGGCCCTGAAACTACTGACCCGACCAATTCTCTATGTCCGTCGTACTATCGGCCCGACAACTTACTCGGATTCAAAAGTAGCCGGATTAGTGTGGACAAACATCTGGGCTACGAGAGATTCATAGACCGGTGTGAGACAAGGATGCCCGCTGTCACCTTTCCTCTTCAACTTCGCTGTTGACGAAGTCATGGAAACCGCGTTTACAGGACACGACTTAGAAGGTGTGGAGCTACTCCCAGGAGAACGACTTCTTGACTTGAAGTATGCAGACGACATTGCCCTCATCTGTGACAGCTCCCAGACGTGCCAAGCCGCGCTGGACAGATTAGCACTGGCTGTCAGCCGCTTCGGGCTTTGCTTTGCACCATCGAAGTGCAAAGCGTTCCTCCAAGATTGGCAGGGATCGCCTCCTGCGCTGACCCTTGGTGGGGATCAGCTAGAAGTCGTTCAGAAATTCAAATACCTGGGAAGTTGTATCAGCGCCCTTGGGATCGAAGACGAGATCACGAACCGTATAGCGAAAGCTCGGAGTGTTTTTGCTAACCTTCGCCACCTATGGCGGCGGCGCGACATCACTCTCGCCCTGAAGGGTAGAGTGTACAATGCAGCGGTACGTTCGACCTTACTGTACGGTTGCGAAACCTGGCCCCTAAGATCGGCGGACATGAAGAGGCTAGATACGTTCGACCATCGGTGCCTTCGCAGTTTGGCTCACATATGGTTGTAACACCGCGTGAGTAATGAGCGTGTTCGACGCATTGTTTACGGCACAGGAAAAGGATCTGAACCGCTCAGCACCGTTATTTCCCGCACCAGGCTCCGATGGCTCGGCCACGTGTTACGCATGCCAGCCCACCGACTCCCTTGACGTGCGTTGTTTGCTCACCGGGGATGTGGGTGGAAGAAGAGGAGAGGTAAACAAGCGATGACTTAGTCCAGAGGAATGAAGTCTATCACTTCGGAGCTAGCCTCGGTTGGAGCTTCACGGCTCCCTGGTTGGGGTCCAAAAGACGATGAACACGTTTGGCTGGATACACTTGCTGACATTGCAAGGAGCCGACCTCAGTGGCGTTCCTGCTGTGAGTTTCTTCATCCCTCCCCATCCCTTTTAGTCTCCCCCTTCATCTACGATCTCATTTCCTAGGGTAAAACATAATTTAAAAATATTTTTTTTCTTTTTGCCTAGTAGCTGGCTGGAAGCTTACCGGAACGATGCCTATCCGTTGCTGGTAGCTCAGCTGGCATGCAACTGTTGTATTTTTTTCCTTTGTGTATTGTGTTATATGTATGTATTTCTTTCATGTATTGCGGCACAATAGCGGAGGTGTTTTCCCACCTCTAGCTGATGTGTATAATGATTATGATGAGATTCATAGACCTTTCAGATGCGCAATGTCCTGTGGGATGATGCCAGGTAGAATCGGAAGTAGAAGCCTTACGACATATATGAGAGCATAAAATTGCACCTCAAAGAGAATCGATATTCTCGAAGATGGGGAAGAAAGAACATAGACACATGACTTCAAGTATCATGAACAGAACTGCATCACAGGTTCCAACTGATGATTCACTGGTAAAAGATCATAAGGACCGGGAAAAAATTAAATAACAATAGGGGAACAGGGTCCGTTGTAAATCCTTAATACCTCCGCCACGGTCACAAAAGAAGTTTGTTCAAGCGCTAAGTCTGTCCTGGCCGAACAGAAGTCAACCTAACCGTCACTCTGACACCGGCGTCGTCAGTTTGAGTACATAACACCTATCGCTCTGTGTGTGTGTGCAAGACAGCGACTAACTATCTGCTATCTAACCATTGACCTACATCTGAACCAATCACCGTGCATTTACCTTCGTAGTTTAACCTTATATGATTTGTACCGGCCCGTAGATGAAACATTGAGAACAAGTGTTCGCCTCAGACTGGTGTTCTCGATGAATCACTGAGAATGTCTCACATTTGGAAACGTACTAAGCCGTTGCACGTGGCAAGGATCTTAATCAGTTCCTAAAGTTTCCCACACGACTTGCTGAAGTCAACATTCACGTTCGTTTTTTGGATGACTGTATGAATACTCGTGAATACCCAACCGCATTTTGGAAATATCTTCGCCGAAACCGTATTTGTCGGAACTCTAAAACCCTTCGTCGTCACGCGCTAAACCAGCGCGATACTATCTGTGGTAAAATACCTGAACTTCAACGAAACATCGTCCAGAGACAATCCAGCGTTGACGCACTAATTCCAGAGGAAAAGCAGCTGTTTTTGGATTATGTTCAGCAGAGCATAGACGGAAGAATGTAGCAAAAACGTGATGTTTTGGCACGGTCACTAAGCTTTATGAAACCACAGGCTGCCTTCCAAACTCATCCAGAAAAGTATGTCCATAATTACGCTAAGTTGGTCCTTTCACCTGAACTGCTTGAAGTATTGTCACTCGGTTCCAAATTCTGTTATCCTAAACGTAACGAACGTCAGCTAGATATCGAGACCCAATTCGAAAACTTGCTGGCACAAACGCATGATTTAGCCGCGCTATCAACTGATGCGCTCGAATGCTTCAAGTCCTCATTGGTTAGTTGTTGTTACCAATATCGTAAATATCAGGCAAATCAACGTGGCCTGATTACACGTAAACATCTGACAGCCCTAAACGAGTTGAAGAAGAACAAAGACATAGTCATATGCAAGCCGGATAAAGGTAGTGGTATAGTTATAATGGATAGAAGTGATTACACTTCAAAAATGAACCAGATTCTCCACGACCAAACGAAGTTTTTTGTAAAAGTGGGCGAGAAGGACCAAACGGACAAGGCGGAGAAAAACCTGACAAAGTGCCTAAAAGATCTATGCACCCGCGGGTTAATACCTGCTTGCATATTTGAAAGTTTAAGACCAGTTGGAACATCTATACCGCGAATGTATGGGCTCCCAAAAGTTCATAAAGAAGGTGTACCTCTGCGGCCAATATTGTCCATGACAAATTCAGTGTACCATCCCACAGCGCAGTGGTTAGCAGAAATGTTGGAACCCATAAGAAAGCGAATTGCTCGACATAGTGTGCGTGATAGTTTTACATTCGTACAGCACATTAAAGATGGGAACATACAAGAGAAGAAAATGTGCTCACTAGATGTAACCTCACTATTCACGAATGTGCCATTTCTAGAAACTATAGAATACTTATTCAGCCATGTGCACAACGATATTCATCTAGGTATACCATTATTAAGCCTGAAGGAACTACTGCTGAGATGGGCTGGCTTGCCGAACTACCTCCTGGTGGTGCCATCTGGGTGGTTCGGGTGTACCCCGTTCCAGCAAAGTGTTCGGCGACAATGTTCCACCTCGGTAAGGCATTGTATTCCAGCAGGTTTGCTGACTTCATGGAGAGTATTGGTCCCCTGTTTGGTAATCTACCAAACAAAGACGCATGAACTGAACATTCAATCAACGCCTTCCAATGGGCGCGATTCGCTAAAGTCGCCCCGCTGCCTTGCGGGTAGGTTTTATAGCCAAAGGCTCGGGGTGGAGTCCCCTAGGTCAACTCTCTACTTCGGTTTGGGCAACCGGGTAGTATCACGCCCTCTCGCAAAACCATGGACTGTATTACAACTTGCTCATCAGCTGCTGTTTCTGCTAGTCACTTTCACGCGACTTCATCACATGCCAATTGTTTGTTTGTTAACAATCCTCACTTTCCGTTATCCGATTCATGTGTTCAACAATCTGGCTGCGATTCCGGTTAAAACCGCAGACCAAGGAGTTCAATCTATGGCTCTTCTTCGTCCCCGATCCTCGTTCCGTCCGGCGTGCTTCAACGTTCGGACACTCATGTAGATTGAACAGCAAGCCGGTCTAGCAAGCACCCTAGGTTTCTTCGATATCGACGTCCGCCGCCTTTCAGAAACCCGACTGGAAGATCCCAGCACTGTGCTTACACTGACATCCCCCACTGACCACGAAGCCAGATATCACCTGCGTCTTTCTGGAGATCCAGAAGCGGCCTCAGCGAGTCTGGCTGGCGTAGGTATAGCACTAAGTGACAAGGCCGAGGCGGCACTACTGGACTCGCTTTATTAACAGCCGACTATGTGCAGCTCGGCTTCGGGATTCGTGTAGAATCAACAGGCACCGCGAAGAGAGACACAACTTGTTTGTGATATCCGTGTACACCCCAATTGACTGCAGTGGCGACTCGGTCAAGGACGACTTCTATCGGGAGCAACGTCAGCTATCGCCTAATGCTAAAAGTCGGATGTCGTTATCCTTGCTGGCGATTTTAATGCACGGGTTGGCCGCCTGTTACCATACGAGCACCACATTGGTGGTCATCACACGCTCGATAAGAACCTCTCTGATAACGGAGAGAGACTTCTCACAATGTGCGAAGACAACCATCAGTTTCTCTCGCGCACTAACTTCAGGCGTACGAAGAAGCGTTCCGCAATGTGGCGTCCCCCTTCGCTAACACAACCGTGGTCTCAAATTGATGACATTGCAATTAACTTCAGATGGCGCGGCAGCGTACTGGACTGCACGTCCATTTGGTCCACCTTCGTTGATTCTGATCATGCTCTGGTCTGCGCGAAAATCTGTATGTGTTTTTGAGGATCCCGAAACACGAAGCACCGCAAGATTGATGTAAACAGACTAACTGACTCCGCTGTCCAGGCGAGCTATCAGTCTTCACCGGCATTTGCAGTCAGTTGCAATCCACCGCAAGAAGTGGAACAACACTGAACTTGTATGCGGAAGGCAATGACCATTTCCGGACAGTCATACTGCGGCCCAACTCGACGCCCCTTGAAGGCTTTGATCTCTGGAGCTGTTCGAACGCCACAAAGATATCCCAGCGGAATCAGATTGCAACGAGCGGCGCCGTTCTGCCAAACGGATGCTCAAGCAAAGCCTACGCAAGCATCGCGAAGCATAGTGGTCTGAGCGTACTTTAGAGATGGTGACCGCTGCCCTCTCTGGCAACACTCGCAGGATTTTCCAACTCATTCGGTCCACTGGCCTCAGGAAGCCTGGTGTCAGTGAGGTCATTTGTGAGGTGGGTGAGTCTCCGATCACCAACCAACAGAGGCGTATGGACCGCTGGGCCGAGCACTTTCACTCACAGTTCTAATGGCCTCCACCATCCATCAGTACACGCAGTACACATTGTTGTCCACCCTGGCTCGCCCCACTGAATCTACCCAGCAAAGCGGAAGTTTGCCTCGAGATTCCATACCTGAAGCGCTTCAACGCTGCCGGCTCAGACGGACTACCTCCAGAGCTGTTCAGGTACGGCGGATTAGCGATCATTAACCAGCTGATCGCGCTGTTCGCAAAAATTTGGCATGAAGAGACAGTGCCTTCCTCTTGAGGCGAATCAGTTATTGTCCCGATTTTCAAAAAAGGCGTTCGCACTTCATGTGGAAATCATCGCGGGATCAGTCTTATTCCGGTTGCCTCTAAGCTATTAGCATCCATTCTGCTTCGCATGCTATCCCCACTACGTGAATTATACTACCGTGAAGAACAAGCTGGTTTCCGTCCTGGTCGTGGATCAAATCTTCACGCTCCGCCAGCTCCTCGAACAACGGCACATTCATCACAAGCCCACTATCATTGCATTCCTAGACATACGTGCTGCTTTTGACTCCATTGATCAACCTGCTTTGTGGCGTTGCTTACTAAAGAACGAGGTGCCAGAGAAATATACCGCCATCTTACGAGCACTTTAACTTCATACATCCGGAAGAGTGAGGGTTTATGGCAAGCTTTTCTCGCAATTCACGGTGTGCGACAGGGCTGCTCTATGTCCCTATTCCTCTTCAACTTCGCAATCGAAGACGTTCTGTCGAATGCTCTAGAAGATTTCCAACATTTTTACTTAGAGCTTCTACCGGATGAGCGCGCGACGGACTTAGATTATGCTGATGATATCGCCTTACTTGGTGACGATCCTCAGAGTATGCAACTCATCCTGGATCGTTTGGCGGTTGAAGCATCTAAGTATGGCATGAGCTTCGCCCCATCGAAGTGTAAAGTACTGTTCAAGGATTGGCTTTCACCTGCTCCTGTGCTCACTCTCGAAGGTGCATAACTTGAACAGGTAGATAGTTTCGTCTACCTTGGGAGCTGTGTTTCTGCTGACGCACTATCAACAAAGAAGTTTCTCTTCGTATCGCTAAAGCTCGATCAGCATTGGTCAATCTGAGGCGCTTGTAGCGTCGTCGCAATGTCCCATTCTCAATAAAGGGCCGCGTTTACAGCGCATTAGTACGCTCAGTGTTGTTGTATGGGTGCGAGTCCTGGCCGATTCGCGTGGAAGACATGCGTCGTCTTTCTGCCTTCGATAACGGTTGCTTAAGGAGGATCGCTCGTGTTTGGTGGCGACATCGAGTTAATAATAATGACGTTCGACGTCGCATCTTGGGGAATGCGGGTATTCCCTTCAACAAACTAGTTTTGTTGCGCCAGTTAATATGGCTCGGTCACGTCCTACGCATGGCACCTGAGCATCCACCGCGTCGCGCTCTGTTCGCTCGTCAAGGACCTGGATGGATGCGACCGCGTGGTGGTCAGCCTTCCACTTGGCGGCAGCACATGAAATCGCTGACGTCGTGTCTAGCCGCTGCTGGATCTGTACGTCTTCCAGGATGCGGACACAAAGATGAGGAGTGCCAGTGGATTAGCACGCTTGAAAACATGGCCAGAAACCGGAATCAGTGGAAGAATTGTGTATAGTATTGTACTGATTCACATGTTTAATACTACAAACATTAAAACGACAAAAAAGAGCAAAAGCAGCGTGTGAGAAACTAGGTCTTTTTAAGCTGGATACATTTAATTCCACTTTATTTGTTTTGTTCTGCCTACCTGACTAATCTTCTATCAACTGGCTACGTTGCCTACGTTAATTGAGGTTATTTTCGTTAACTTTATTGCATTTGTAGTATTTTTAAGTGGTTTGTGGACATTTTTCCTTATCGCGGATTCGTTGCTAACCAACTTACTTCAGATGCTAATATTGCGAAGAGTTATGCCACCGTATCTGTTTGCAGTATTGCATTTATTTTATTTCATCTTGTCGTTTCAAGTGATTGGCCGTTGCTTGATATCCTTGGTGTGGTTGCGCTTGATGTGCATGTTGACAAGGTGCCTACCTGTCTAGTACCCACTACGCAGTCTAGACTGGCTTCAGGAGACAGTTGGCCGTTGCTGGAGGGGACGGGGTGCACGGTCTTTGTGGCCGTGCTAGGCTAGAAGAGCGGTTCCATGCAATCTGTGTGGAGCGGACTACGGTTTAACCAACGCCACGTGTGCGCTTGATTCCCTAAATACAGCGTGCTTGTGTTTGCCTGTGAAGGTGTGTGAGCCGGCTCCGTTGATGAAACGTGGCTCCCATCCACATGCTTCCCGGTCTTATTCCTTCGGGTTTACACTCGATATGCGGTGTGTGGATGGTGCAGCGCAAGCCACAGTAGCTGAGGTGTTCCCCACCTCTATCTAACGTGTATGATGATGACGATGCAGTGCAAGCCACCCATGGTCCTGCTGTAGGCGCAGGCGTCCTGTTGCTGTGCACAGTGACAAGCAAATCCGAAATCGGATGCCGCCAACCATATATGGTATGGCGGCATCCGTATCCGGATTTGCCTGTCATTGTGGCCTCCATGGGGACAGCCACAGGACGCCTGCGCCTACAAAGGGGATCATGGGTGGCTTGCGCTGCACCACCCACAGCTCCATCCACACACCCCATATCCAGTGTAAACCCGAAGGAATAAGACCGGGAAGCATGTGGATGGGAGCCACGTTTCATCAACGGAGCCGGTCCACACTCCTTCAACAAGCAGAACAGAAGCATTCCGGCCTTATTGGAAAAGGATGCACACCATACGTACACATGGCAGTGGATGGATCGTAGCCCGTTCCATACAGGATGGAACCACTCATTGAGCCTAGCGTCGTCACGAGGACGGTGCACTCCGTCCCCTCCAGCGACTACCAACTGTCTCCTGGACCCAGTATGGAAGAGGTAGTTGGTAATAGACAGGTAGGCACCTTGTCAACATTCACATCAAGCGCATCCACACCGGGGAGCTCAAGCAATATCTACTTCTGAAATGCAGGATTACTCAGCACGTAAGCAAACATATCACATACGCCGCCTTATTGGCCTGGATTAGTAAATCGAATGGGAGCGTACGCATCATGCTTCTATTCCGCGTGCCATAGTACCTTCCCCTGCAACTGAGCGACCGCCCTTATGATTAGTCCACGGAGTTCGCATCGATCAAATTTTCGTTGGGTTCGCAACACCTGAGATCAACATGAGTTCGTCATAAACTCACCTTCTTCATGTTCTGGTAATGTTATTTTCGGTTTGCTCGAGTGCCGTTTCCCTGCACTAAGTTAACCGTACAAAAGCGGTATGGGTATCCTCGAATACATTTGGTGTACATAATATATACATAGATTTTCGTCATCCGTGTCCAATGACAGTTCGAATACAACATATGCACAAACTGTGCCCGCCTAAGAAAACAAAAACCCGATCGCAAAGTGTTAGGTATCACATGCAAGCTTCATAAGATCCGGCGGAAATTCAGATTAACAGCAGACTTTGCGCTAATACTGCAGCAGGCAAAGATCATCGAGGAACTCGGGCATCTAAATGTTCGCAATCTCATATTAGAAGAATACAAAGCTTTGAATGGCCCGAGTAAAACAACGGAACTGCCCAGACTGTTTCGTGCCAGAGGTTTGCGTCGCAGTAATTCCATCAATTTTATCATTATGCCGGATGGCACATACCTTGATGCTCCGAGTGAAATTTGTGAGGCTTTCAGCGCCTATTTTGCCGAATCAATGGTTGATGAACCGCTAGCCACACCAGCGCTTGTCACACCACACATTGCTGAAACTTTATGCACAGTGGAATTCACTATTGCAAAAATCTCCGGTCAAGTCTCCCGCTTGTCTTGCTCGACTTACCCAGGACCTGATGGAATTCCCCCTTGTTTGTTAAAAAGCGGTGGGAGCGACTTGCCTCTTCTATTGCTCAACATTTTTACGCTCTCTTTTTACAGTGCAGTATATCCTAAGCACTGGAAGACTTCCGTTGTTATCCCGCGTCAAAAGAATGGAAACGTTCACGAAATTAAAAACTATCGCCCCATCAACCACACACCTGTAATATCTAGAATTATGGAAAGGATAGTGTAAGATGAATTACTTATTTTCTTGAATAAGAAAAACGTCATCAACAATTCACAACACGGTTTTTTGCAGGGCAGATCTTGTGCGACATGCCAGACAGACTTCTTAAACCACACAACGGCTGCCATAGACAAAGGCAACAGTGTTATTGTCCTGTTCTTAGACATGCAAAAAGCATTCGACAGAGTGCCGCATCGAAGATTACTGCTCAAGCTGAAGGAAATAGGTATTGGAGAACCAATGTTTTCTTGGTTGTCTTCATACCTAGCTGACAGACATCAGGTGGTGTGTATTGGCGACCGTGTCTCTAAACCGAAAGCAGTCACCAGTGGAGTAATTCAGGGAAGTGTACTTGGTCCACTTCTTTTTCTCCTCTACGTCAACGATGTATTTCATAGAATAAGACATGGTGCTACTTTTCTGTTTGCTGATGACATTAAAATCGTCTACTCACAAGAACGTGCAGATACCCGCGCAGCCTTGTGCCACATTCAGGAAGATCTATCGGCACTTGAATCCTGGAGCAAACTGTGGCAGATGTCCTTTTCCGTGGACAAGTGTAATATTCTGTCGTACAAATGCGAAGTTCAACCAGACAGTCTATTATTACAAGGCACGTTTATATCACCGTGCAAAGTGATTCGCGACTTGGGTGTGCGGTATTCCACTACCTTCAACTTTTCGGAACATTGTGACTTCCAAGTTTCGAAAGCCATGAAGACTATTGGCTTTTTCTGTCATAAATTTCAACTCACAGAATCTCGTATCTGGCTTTACAAAACATATGTGTTACCTGGCATGGAATACTGCTCACTACTACCGTCGAATCCGCGGATCTCTGACCAGCATGCTCTTGAGAGGGTACAGCGATGCTTTACAAAGAAGCTGTGCGGATATTCCTCCAAGATGACCTACAGAGAGCGCAGTGAAAAACTTGGACTTGACCCACTTTGGCTACGGATAATGAAGATGAACTTGTGTTTCCTGTACAGAATAATTCACCATCACATGCACAATTATGCTAACTGTGTCCATATGGCCGTTAACACTAGGTACGAGCTACGAAATAAGGAGACAACGGTCATGATTCCAAAGTTCAATACGCGAATTAGGGAGCGTTTCTTCTTAATACACTGCTCAAAGCTTTGGAACAGACTTCCAAGAGCTATCAGAACTTGTTGCACATTGCGTTTCTTTAAGCTTTCGATAAAAGATCATTTAACCGTTCAAAATGTGATAATAATGTTTCGAACAGCACAGTCTTTAGATAACGCTTTTGAGAACGGAGTTAATGGTGCCTGAAAATGCATGTGGTCAAGTGCACAAGTGGTTATATTTTGTTGGCCCGCAGCACTTTATTCTCTTTTTTTCTCGTGTGCGATCAACTCTCATGTGACTGCTAAAAACTTGTCAGACGATAGAACAAGAGGAATGTAAATATTTTGGACCGCTTCGCGCTACACAAATTTTCATTTTGTGCTCACATTTTTTAAATTTATTATACCATGACATGAAAATGCTGTACCATTATTTGATCCGTCCCTTCTGGGAACGGCTTCTCGCATCGTCGAGCCATATACAATTTATTTATTTATTTATATGCGTTTATCCAAACTTAAATGTGAGCTGTCACAAACTGGATAGAGACACATGAGACCTCATGATCAATGGAAAGACAAAGGTGTATGGGTTTCGTTTGGAGGTTAGACTAACAATCACTTTCGCAGGCATGACAATAAGTACCCAATACGAACTGTTGATGTTTTCAACATTTAGACGTGACAGCCTTAAATCTTGGGGATCCATATTTGAAGGAACTCGATGTAGTAATAGTGAAGCAACTGCTAGGTCGAATGATAACCAAACTACTGGTACAGTGAAATAGTATGCACTTAGGTGTTGCCTTCTACATGTACAGTCTGGTTTGAATAGATGATGGGGGAGATGATCACACAACATGCGAATGCGATGCAGTGTCCACTTCTGGCTCTCTGTGTCTCCGACCGGTTCGGTCATTTGCTGCCCGAGGTATGTGAGCCTACTTAAAGGACGATTGATACGCACCCTTTGGTATTGACAGGTGACATCAACTAAGTCCCCCTGCCCACTGTCAACCATGCGACTTTCCAAACAATGTTCGCAAATTTTGTGCAAATGTCCAAGTACTCAACCGTTTATACCTGCCGACATGTACTCTACTGTGGCCATAAGCTATTTGCTAACGATCTATATCGTACGTCTCGGGTGCAGTCATTCGGTGTTCATAAAACGATTGTCGCTGTGCGTCGATTCCTTTCCGATGTAATATACTAACACACTGACGTACCATTCCCGTTAGGTTCAACCTTTTACTTAGTCCATCCAAAAGATTGGCCATGTGCAATGCAACTTCTGGTAGGCGTCTCTGCGCGTCTGCCTTCCATCCGTTTAGTACGTGTGTTTTCATAAGCCCCGGTAAATTCAGTATGGCTGAGGGACAATTGGAACTATAACTATGCTCACTCTCATCACTAGCCTGCGGAGTGGAACATGAAATGGCGACATCGTGATCATCGTTACTCGGTGAATTGTCGGGATTGTTCACTTGCCACAGAACTTCCAGGGAAATTTCTCTTCGAATGCATAATCCAATTTGGTCACACGAGGGCCAATCGTTGAGTATTGTGTTCCAAATGTCAAACTTTACACTTTATGCGTACTGTAAGCGGTCAAGCGATGATAACCTTTTGCTTCAGACGTATCCATCGAACTGGAAACACAATAATTTGCCACCCTAGCATTGATCCGTATCAAGTACACAAATCGCTCGGAAACACCGCGCGCACGTCAATTACGAATGAGCTCATGGATGGACTGAACCATTATTCTGCGATGCACCGGCTCTCTAAGCGTCATGCTAGTTAGCATTGAACAGCTGGTCAAGCTACGGTTACGTAATCTACAACTCGATTTCAACAAGCAGAACGTAGATGGCATAGTCTGATGAGTAACACCACGGAGCTTACATAGTGATGTGAATCGCGACCGAATAATAATACGAAGAGGAAGAAGCGGTCGCTCACTGTCTCGGTATGTAACCATACCAGACTCTGCTTAAGAAGGTAGCAAGAATAGCATACCATAGGTCATGATGAGTATAATATTGTAATGGGCAACATATGAAGTCATCGCGAAATACAACGGAGTTAAATAAGCCTAAAATAGTTAGGTTACCTGTGGCTCATCCGTTCTAGGCAGGTGCAATAAAGATACCACATTGCACCAAGTCAGAAGTTAATCATTCTAGAATGAAACTGTACCCAAACGCGACT